TTTAACTGTCTAGACCCGTATGCTATAACCTTTCCATGTTGCATCAGGACACAACCCAGGCCCAGATAGGAGGCATCACTATAAACTGTATATTCTCCCGATCCACTCGATAAAGCAGCACGGGTGCAGTGGTCAGCCATTTCTTTAATTCTGAGAAACTTCTTTCGCAGTCTTCATTCCACTCAAACTTGGCATTCTTCTTTGTGAGTCGGGTTAGAGGAGCTGCTAGACTGGAGAATCCTTCAACGAACCTGCGGTAATAACCTGCCATCCCCAGGAAGCTACGGATTTCCTTAACTGATGTCAGCTTCTCCCAACCAAGCACCGCTTCAACCTTTTCAGGATTCACTGATACCCCTTCTTTCGATATGATGTGTCCTAGGAAGGCAGTCTGCTCAAGCCAGAATCCACACTTACTCAACTTCGCATATAGCCTCTTATTTCTAAGGACCTACAAAACTTGGGCCAGATGGTGAGCATGCTCTTCTCTGCTTTTTGAGTAGAGTAAGATATCATCGATGAACACGATGACAAATTGATCCAAGAACTCTCTGAAAATCCTGTTCATCAGATCCATAAAGATTGCCGGGGCATTGGTTAGCCCGAATGGCATGACCAGGAACTCATAGTGTCCGTACCTGGTTCGGAAGGCCGTCTTGGGGATGTCTTCTGTTCTTATCTTCACCTGGTGGTAACCTGATCGTAGATCTATTTTAGAGAAGACTTGTGCACTCTGCAGCTGATCAAAGAGGTCATCAATCTGGGGAAGGGTATACTTGTTTTTGATCGTGACCTTGTTCAATCCTCTGTAATCAATGCACAGTCTCAACGTTCCATCTCATTTCCTTGCAAAAGTGACTCCGGCACCCCAAGGGGACACACTGTGTCTAATAAAACCACTGTCTTGCAGTTCAGTGATCTGTTTCCTCAGCTCTTCTATCTCAATGCGGCTCATGCGGTAAGGAGCAACCGAAATGGGCTGGGTACCTGGCTGTAGGTCTATAGTAAACTCGACTTTCCTGTCCACTGGCAGATCAGGCAGTTCGTCCGGAAACACATCTGGAAAGTCTCGGACTACAGGAATCTCTTGAATACAAATTTCCCTCTTGGGCTTGCGTAGTCAGAGAAAACAACAAGATTAAGGCACTAGAAGTTAAGAAAACTTGCCATCAAGGAATACTGAATAATTTTATTAATTTGTAAATGACTCCTCGTTAGGAGGATTAAATACAGCTTTCTTGTTGAAGCAATCTATAGTGGCGTGATACGCTGCTAGCCAATCCATTCCTAAGATTACATCAAAATCCCCCGTGTCTAACCCTATCAGGTCTACACTCAACTTCCTATTTGCTATCTCCACGGCACAAGCCCTATAGATAGCTTCCCCTAGTAGTGTTTCACCCCCAGCAGTAGACACAAACAATAGTGATTCAAGTTTATCAGGTGATACATTAATTTTAGGAGCAAAAGTATGTGAAACAAAAGAGTGCGATGCACCAGTGTCAAATAAAACATGAGCAATATGGTCACAGATAGTATACATATCCTGTACCACATCCGGGTCGGTGTCGGCATCCTGCTGGGTAAGGTTGTAAGCTCTGCCCTGGATAGGAGGCCTCCCTTGATTCTGGTTCCTTGGGCATTCTCTGGCATAATGCTGGGCACTGCCACAAATGCGACAAGTGTTGTTGAGGCGGTAGCAGGGTCGGTCCCCGTGATCTCTGCCATAGTATTGACAGATCTTTCCACGTGCTGCCCCTGGAGCCTGAAGAGGGGCCTGGATGGCTGGTATGGGCCTCTTGTTTGGTTGGGCAGGCGCCGCGGGTGCTGGCCTGCGGAACGGAGCTGAAGGTCGGGAACTCCCTCCTGGCTGAGGACAGGTGCTGAAGCTTCTTTCCACGATCTGTGCCTTTGCTAGGACTATTGAATAGGTCTTGAGCTCCAATACTACAAAGTGTTGCCTGATCTCTGGGCTAAGACTCGACTGCAATCTCCAGGCCTTTTGGCCCTCATCCATCAATGTCTCCGGGGAGTATCGGCCCAGCTCGAGGAACTTACAAGCATACTCTGATACTGTCATGTTTCCCTGAACTAGTTGAACAAACTCCGTTTTCTTTAGGTGTCAGATGTGCTCAGGGAGATACTCCGCATGGAAGGCCGTTAGGAACTGCTCCCAAGTGACTGGTGTAGGCAGGGTGGCCTGCTTGAGCTCCCACCAACGTCTTGCTTTCCCTACCAGCATGAAGGAAGCAAGGGCAGTTCTCTGCTCAGGGACTACTCCCAAGCTCCTGAAAGCTCTCTCAGTCTCCGCCAGCCAGTACTCGGCCTCTTCGAAAGAGGATCCTCCTGCAAAGGTGGAGGGGTTCAGTCTCCTGTACCTCTCTATGTAGCCCGGGTCGATCAAGGAAGGAGCAGAGTCCCGTGGAGGAGGGACTGGACCCAGCTGGGGATAGACTGGGGGGGTCCTGTGGTGGCACCTGCTGATATGCTAGGGGCACTGGGTCGTGCTGTGGCGGTGCCGGGTAGTACCGTGGCTGGGGCACCGGGTTGTACTGCAGTAGTGGTGCCGGGTGGTACTGTGGAGGAGCAGACTCGTGCCGGGGTGGCTCGGGATCCGCTTGCTGTAGCGGTGGCTCAGCCCGTGGTAGTGGGGGAGGTTCGGGTAACTCCCTTCTCTCCTCTCGCCCTTGCTGGGCAGCTATGAATCCTTCCATCATCTCAAATAGCCTGTCTACATCCTCCCGAAGAGAATTATCCCGGGCTGCTCGATTTAGTGGGGGTCTTCCTCTCCTCATTTCTCTGCACCTGCATTTCATAAGGAATGGTTGAGTAACGGTTTATCGGTGAATATTTCTCTAAGTATTATAGTGTAAGGGATGGGTTCGGGGAACGCGGCTCTGATACCAACTGTAACGGCCCCGAAAATTTAGAATGAAATATGTGTATTAAAAATGTCAAATGCGGAAGCGTAATAAAAATTTTGATTAACATCCCTTACACTAAAACCAAAAACGTGCTCAAAGTATAAAAGAACAAACTAACTAAAAGAGAAACTCGAAAATAAAAACTATAAATATAACTACTGAGTCTTTAGGCATCCCCTTCGCTGTCTTCCTGCAGAACGGGCTCGGGAACAATGTCTTCCTGATCTGAAATGGTTAAATAAGGAATGAGCTATATCAGCTCAGTAAAGACATCACACTATCTCACCGCCACGGAGGTAAAGGTGGGTAAAAAACACAAAAAGACCAATGGAGCATAATTTATAACAAATTCTTTTATCAATAATAAAATCCTTTACTGTCCACTTACCTCGGTGAGATCCATAAGATAACATACGAAAACAATAACATTATCATCATCATGAAATCATATGAACTTAATAACAAAATACTTACCACGTCTTTGCGTTTCAATCATTAAACAACACATTTTCCTCATTTACCAGTCTACTAGTATCCATAGGGGTCCCGCTACCCGTGGACCCTTAATATTTATAACCTGATTCCAGAGCCGTCCTCATACCCCGTCCGGTATGGGCACCAAAACCATGAACCTCAATACCCCGTGCGGTATGAGGGTGAAACGGACCGTCCCCATACCCCGTCCGGTATGGGCGCCAAAACACATAAAATCTCCATACCCCGTCCGGTATGAGAGACCACGTTCCCAGTATGGTTCCCTACTGACCCGGTCCGTCCACCATCTCCCAGGATATCTAGTCATGCTGTCCACATTATTCACTATCCATTCACATAACCTTTTTGACCATTTTCTTGGTTTCAATCAACCAAACACACACAATATGTAAACCAGTAATGGACACCAAACAAGACAACACACAACATCAGGTTCTCAGTCATTCAACCCATAGTCAATAAAACAGTTATATATGCACATGAAGCTATGAAATAAAAATACCACACATCATACTGCATTTAAAATTGTGAAATAGAACAAACAATAACTGATCGACAAATACACCAGACTCGGACTCCATTAGCGACCTTAAACAATTTCACACATCTATTGATTCATGAAATACCGTTTTATCATTTATTGAACTTTAATACCGTGATAGGAAATAGGGTGATGGGTCTTTACTTGTTTCGGGGTCTGAATACGGCTCTACAGTGCGCCTATATGCTGTCCCTAATTTTTCCTGAATTTTTTCCCAGGGAGCTGAAACGCACTACTAGTACCTGCACGTGTCCCAAAAAAATCTCAAATTAGACCTAGGGCCCCTTTCAGCCAATATCGCAATTCCGGCATGGCGGCTCCGCCGTGCTCCGACGACGGCGGTTCGCCTCGGGTTGGCCGTTTTCGCCCGAATTCAGCCACGCTTGCATCGGTCCCTGCGATAGAACAACCCTAGGACCCTCGGTGGGCTGAAAAATCACGAAAAATAGAAACTTACCGGCGGCGGTGCTCTCGGGTGCGGCGGCTCCTCCGGCGTGAGTCGCGTTTTGATGTTTGACTCCGATCAACTTGTAGAGAAAAGAACGGTGATCACGGTGGTATAAAATTTGCATCAAATGGAGGCCGGGAAGGGCCTCATCGGAGGCAAAAATCGAGAAGGGGCGCGACAGTGCCGCTGGGTTTCGGCTGAATTTTCCGGCCGTTTGGCTCCGGTTTGGCCATAGGCGGACTCAGCGTCGAAAAAAGAGTAAGGGGGAGAAAAATTACCTCAATCGGCGGTCGGAAACTTCCCCGGTGCGGCGGCGGGTGGCGGCGGCCGGCTCCTCCGGCGTCTGGTTCTTCTTCTCCGGCGAGCACTGGCGGCTAGGATTTCTTTGGTCAGGTGTGAGTGGGGGTATTTATACCATTTGTCTTTTAATCTTGACCGTCCATCAAGATTGAATCTGGGCCGTTTGATCGCGATTTAATTGGGATTAAATTAAATCTGGGCCGTTCGTGCCTGATTGAATCTGGACCGTCCGTGCGCGTGAATCTGCGCCGTCCGTGAACGTGAATCTGGACCGTCCGTGCGCACGTTTGATCTGGGCCGTCCGTGCGCGCGGGAACATTTTACGGTCTTTCTCCAACTGATTGTGTTTGAAGTAGCGTTGTTATCCAACTAGGAAGAAAAGTAAATCATGTTAATGAAGCTGCAAATTTTTCTTCTGCAGTTATCATGTTAGTAAATATAAAGTTGGTATCCTTTTCTTTTTTGTTGGTTGGATATACATATATATATATAGTAAATGAAAAGTTGATATATTTATCTTGGGTTAATCTTAATTAAAACTTTCAAAGATGGGGACTGCCTAAAACATACGATTAGATCTTGGTAATCAGAGGATCAAAAAAGAAAAGAAGAAGAAACATAGTTTCAAGGAAAAAGGAACAGAAGAAGTATACGTTAAAAGAATATCTTTCTGCGTCTCAAGGTGTTGGCAGAAGCCTTAGAGACCAAATACCCAACACCAAAACACATTACCCAAATCCCCACATCAATCGCCCATTTCATTCCCTCCATCTCCATCTCCATCTCCATCTCCATCTCCATCCCCTCCTCCGCCTCCTCACCCTCCGATCTTTCTCCTGACCAGCAATACCTACCGTCCGATTCCTCTTTCTCTTCTGGGATCACCTCAAGCAATTCAATCTCTCTTCTCCTCATCATCATCTTCCTCCTCCTCACCATTTCCACGCTCTCACTCACTGCCACGTGTCCCTCCAACGCCACGCACACCTGCGCCGCCACCGCCTTAAAAATATCCCCTTCCATCTCGCACTTGCACTCTAGTTTCCACTCTTTCTCCCCGTCTTTTCTAAAAATTCCCTTCAACACCTTCTCCTCTCTCAAATATACCTCAAACCGCAACCCCACGGGAATCCCAACCCGCTCCCTGCTCCCGTATATCACCTCCCCATCTTTCGTCTTCGCGTTATCCACGAGGTAAAGAGAAACGAACGCCTGCGATTCGGGTCGGATCTTCGAACCGTTAACCTCAAGAGCATTCCCATGGATTCTTGGAAGATAGACGAGAGTGGCGGAATCCGGCAATACTTTTGGGGTATCGAAGCCGGAAAAACGAATGAAGAAAGCTTTGATGTTTAAATGATCTTTCTCGCTGTAGCCGTGATAATCTGCTGATATACACATCGTGCTACTACTCCGTTTAAAGATAGATTCAGTGTGAATATATTTGATGGATTTATAGAGATTTGAATGGTGGGTAGTCAGAGGGAAGCCTCGGATTTGATTCAGAATCAGGGCGTTGGCGAGTGGGGAGCACACAGTTTTGGTGCTGGCATGGAGTAAGCGACAAAAAAATTGTGTGCTGCAGGTTGCCAGCAGGAGTCTTCTTGTCTGAGTTTGCATGGGTTCCGTGATATGTGATTCTGTCGTTTTGTTTTTGTATTCTGTGTTTCGCGGAAGTAAGAGTTGATGGACTTGCGGAATTTTGGAGCGTTGGATTGAGGATTATGAAGTGGGTTGTTGGGTCGGCAGGTGCATGAATGAAGCCGTTGTGGATGACTTAAATGCGTTGAATTTTGGATCTTCCGAGAGCCGTCGATTTGGGATAATTTTCCCAAGTCCTGGCAAGTGGATTAGAATCTTTGATACATGTAAGAAACCGGCACTTGCATTTCCTTTTTTTTTTTTTTTTAATTTTTAATTTTAAATTATAAACTTACAATATATAATTTTTTTAAAAATAATCTATAAATATGTAAATAAAATTAATGTCATAATTTATATAATAATAATTTATTTAAATTTTCCTAAATATAAAAATAAAATTTAATTTTTAATTAATTATGAATTATGTTATAAATAAAATTTAAATATAAAAATAAAATTACTATATATGATATTATTTAAGTTTTTAAAATGTAAAAAATTAATTTAATAATATATATCATAATTACTAATTTAAATTTTCTAAATACAAATTTAAATTTAAATTTTCCTTAATTATAAACTTTTAAATATATACTCTACATAAATTATGACATACATGTAATTTTTTAATCACTTACCACATGGAGCAGTGAAATATTCTTATTAAAATTTTTTATTTTTGTATAAATTTTGTTTCTATAAAATAATTTTAATATTTTTATATAATTATAAGAATTTTTTACAATTATATGTTGTGCGTAATTAAATGATACTCTGTTTTTCTAATTCTATTGTCAAAAATATATTTTTTTAATTAAAATTATTTATATTATAATAATTTTTATCTTTGTTTAGAATTATTTTTAAAGTATTTTGACCTACTCACAGTACAAGAACCAATCGAACAAATCAGATCATATATTTTCATTTCAAATATCTGGAAAAAATAATAAACAAAATTAAAATATACTAATTATATTTTATTATGCAAATTCATCGGTACTCCCCCCAATATTTAATCGTTGTTTACCTTATGATTGGTTAAGTGTTTGTTTGGCAAAACTGATGGGCAAAAAAAGAAAAAAGGTATTAACTAAAAATAGTTGGGCTCCTTCAGGACTTGGTGGTTTTCGGGTCCAACAGAAATTCTGTAAAAATCAAATGGGTGGAAAAATTGCTTTTCCGAGTGCCTCACCTCTTCCCATCTTAAATAGTTATCTTATTTTTCTTTTATTGGATCACTGCATGTTTCACGTGTTGAATTCCACTTAAATAGGTAAGTGACTGCTCCTTTTTGTATTTCATTACAGGTACTCAATTTTTTCAGACTTTTGCTTGACACTCCATCTTTTATTTTTATTGAGGATGTTGTAATGAAATGAATGTGGTGCACAACCCGAAATCAACAATATAATCTAAAATCCCGTATATACATAAGTAACCAGAAATTCAAAATTTTAAATAAACCCTCCATACTTGATTCATACTTAATAGACGAGTGAAAATCAAGATAATTGAGAATGAATTAAAATAAAAATTCCTGAATTTTATTAATAAGTTAAAAATTTTGAATGAATTATAACTTTAAATTGAAAACTTATTTACAGTGTATATCATATGAATAATAAAGAAAATAATTTCTTAATTAATGGTAGAAATTATATAAAAAATTAAATCTAAACTGTAATGGAAAACTAACAAAAATTAAGAAGATTACAAGATATATATAATTTTTCTCTAAAGAAAACTTTTTGAATAGATAATATCTTAATTGATTGTGGCTGATTTAGGAGAAAAAAATATGTCAAGATATTTTTCTCTTTCTCAAATATTTTTATTTTCCGTAAGATTTGATATTTAAGAACTTTTCTTCTTTCTCAAGATAGTTTACAATTTATGAGTAATTTTTTCTTTTGACTGATCTTTAATTGTGAAGATTTCTCACAAGATTATGAAATAAAATTCCATGAGAGTTTTCTGTTTTCATGTCTTGGAGTTTTTCCCTCTTGTTTATTTCCTTCTTGCATTTGAGGTGAATAGTATATATTATTATACCATTGGGTTAATGACCTTGTTGTCTTCTATTCTTGGTCTTCTTTAGTGGGTCCAAGCTTATCTTCTTCATTGATCCACATTTAGACAAATAGTTGAAAGTTTGTTGTAATCTTTTACCTCTCCTCCTTGTAATGGGCCCACTTGGTATCGAGATATTTTTTCTGCCAAGTTGATGCATCCATGCTCACATCATCACCTTCCTTTTTAAAAAGATTCGTCCATGAATGTGGATCTGTATAAAAAAGGAAAAGGTCAGAAACATTAATAAAGTAGACACATTGTACTCACATTAGAGATCAATTTTATAGGCATTGTCATTGATACGCTCTAGGATTTGAAAAGGTTCGTCTCCTTAAGAGTCTAACTTAGATTTTCATTGATTGAAAAATCTTTTCTTTTGCATATGAACCCATACTTAATGGCCAGGTTGGAAACTGCTTGTTTTTTTTTATTAGCGTATTATGCATAGGATTCATTCTTCTTCTGAATATGTTGCTTAGCCTTCTCATGTAGAACTTTAACAAGTTCTGCTCTCATCTGACCATTAGTGTCATGAATTTCCTACAAAGGTAAAGATGTGAGGTCCAACGGAGTTAAATAATTGAAACTATAAATAATCTCGAAAAGTGAAAATCTTGTAGAGATATGAATGCTCCTATTATATGCAAATTCAACTATATGCAAACAATCCTCCCATGTTTTCAAATTTTAGACACCTACATCTCTCAACAAAGATCCTAAGGTCCTATTAACGACCTCAATTTGGCTATCAGTTTTGGGGTGACATGCAATAGAGAATAACAACTTTGTTCCTAATTTACCCCACAGAATTCTTTAAAAATGATTAAGGAATTTCACATCCCTATCACTCACAATTATCTTAAGAATACCACAGAGTCTCATAACATCCTTAAAAAATAGGCTTGTAGTATTTGTCGCATCATCAGGCTTTTGAAATCTTACAATATTAATTTAATACTGTTTTCCTTACTGAGTATATGAAACTCATTCTTTCCATGCCCCCCTCCATAGATGAGGAAGAAAGTGAGGAACCGCATGCTGAATTACCCCTAGAAGTCTATGAAAATCTCCTCGATCAACAAGTTTGAGTCCATGACTGTTCTCGCACTCTGATGAGTCCAATAGCATTGTGAAAGAAGTGACCATTATATTTGTTTTATATTTTGCAGTCACTTCTGACATCAGTTTATGTATGTATTACAACTTATATATATTTGTAAGGGGTTTGTAATGATTTTGCTCTACTGCATAAATTTTATTATGCACTTGTTATTCTGAATCTGTATCTGATACTCATTTACTTTATTAACACTTGGGATGTCATAGATGGTATTAGAGCAGAATTTCACGGAACAAATCCCATACACTGAGGCTTAGTATAGATAAACCTTTTAGAGTACTTAGGAAAGAAATATATCTTATTTTCAAAGATTAAACCTCCAACTCATGTCTTTATTTCTTTTTTAGGAATGATGCGGGGAAGACTATCCGTAGAGCTTACTGAACGACTTGAAGTCCCAGATCATTCAACTAGGGCTGAATTTGCGGAACCTTTTTGAGCCATTTAAGGATTAACTGTAGTCGTAGGAAAAAACTAAGCCAACCCTTATCCACCCCCTGTCCCTGAATTCTAAAACACATATCAGTCTATCTCTCACAATATTCCGGAGTATAGAAAACTTAATCCCCCACACTTTGAAGGTGGCCCTGATCCTTTAGTAGCCGAAACCTGGATCCTAAAAATAGAGAAGCTTTTCTCTGTCCTAGACTTGACCGAAGAACAAAAAGTCCCTCTTGCAGCTTTCATGTTAAAGAGTGAAGCGAAATACTTGTGGCGACTTAAGAAAGAAGTCTAACTTACCTATATTACCTGAGAAGTGCTCATAGACGCTTTATTTGATAACTTTCATCCTGCTTATGTTTGGAAAAAGAAAGAGGAGGAATTATAGGACCTCCGCCAAGGAAGCTGTCTGCAGCCCAATATGCAATCTGTTTTATTCAACTGTCTAGATTTGCCCTTTTGATGGTTACCCCCAATAACTGAGAAGTTAGGAAGTTTCTCAAAGGTCTTTGTATTGACATTTATGACCGGATTGCAATGCTGAGACCCTGCTCATATGTATAGGTACTTTAACATGCCCAGTTGGTCGAAGATCTTATCTTGGCAAGCACAAACACTTTACCCGAGTTCGTGCCCAACAACAACCCCAACAGCTTAGAAAAAATTGTTCGACCTAGTAAGTAACCCTCTAGACAAACGAACCAAAATTGTCCTTCTTCTTGCCTTACCCTCACCTATAGCTCCACTTTCCCGAGATAACCAACCTTATCAACATTATGATTGCTCACATGGTGACCTGCCCTGTTAGCGTATCAATAACGCCTGCTGTTGGTGCAGAAACACCCAACAACTTATAACAGACTGCCCTCAGCGACCAAAGGATGTAGCCCAATCTGTAGCACAAGATCGAGTGTACCACTTAGATGAATCTTATGTCCTTTCTACTCCTGTCCTCATCCAGGGTATGCTTTCTATTCGTAAGACTTCTTCCGAGGCTTTGATTGATACTAGTGCAACTCACTCTTTTATTTTCTATATATTAAGTTGTAACCTAGAATTTAGACTATAAGCTTTAGAGAAAATGCTAGTGGTAGAAACTCCCTCTAAAAGACTACTAGAAGCTCATTTTGTATATAAGGACTGTAGGATAAAAGCTTCAG